ATGGGAAAGATTAAAAGCATGAAGGGGAAGCATGTAGTGTTCAGTAGCTGGTCGTGTTGAAATAGCCAACTTCATAATTAGAGCTCTGGTCCTTGTAACACCTGCCTTTTGATCTCGGTACAGAATATGTTAGGTTTAATAAACAGCCATTTTGCTGCCTTGTTTTCAATATTCACTAAAAACTTCACATTTTATGGTTCGTATTTGTAGCCCTGTTTTATTTCTCAACCTGTTTCCTATTAAGAATAGACCCTGACGTAAATGACCTCCTCAAGAGAGAGGATCTAGAGCAGTGCTTCTCAAATGTGAAAGGGAAATTCCAATCACCTGTGGGTCTTGTTAAACTGAGATTTTTGGTTCAGCAGGTCTGCCTGAGATTCTGCATTTCCAACAAGCTCTCGGATGCTGCTGATGCTGTTGATCCAGGGATTACCCTTTGAGTAGCTAGGATCTCAATGATTCTTGATGCTAGATTTTTTAGCCATGATTAATGAGCAATAATCGGGTTAATAGAGGTTGGGTTTAAGACCCAGCATTTTCCACAAGCATGTACATTATATATACTTCATTGTAAAAAGCATCTGGTAAAACTTTAGACCCTCAGGCAATAATGGTCCACTTACAATTTTTTTTTTGTGCATCTTCTTAGACACCTCTTCTGATGAGTCTGAAAAAGTGGAAAGAGGATCAGAATCTTGATCCAGAACTATTCCTGTCTGTAGTAATATTTTAGGTTCATGTTGACTGCAGAGCTAGCACTGAACTCGAGGCTTCCTCAGGGGAGGTGTTCAGGTGTTGTAGATCTGAGACCCTAAGATACAAAAATAATCAGTATCAGTTAAAGCTTCCTAAATGCAGCATTCTTTCAAACTGTAAAACCATTCATGTATAATTAACACTGGTGGCAAATAAGTCAGTGACTGCTTCTCATCTCCTATTTCTGATTTCTCATCTCCTCCCTTGAGATGCTTCTTTTGATTTCAGTTATTGATGCTTTATCACAGATGTTTTCAAAGTCACTGCAGAGAACCTAGTAAATCCTACCTTTTGTTAGTAGTAAAATTAGCCTTAGGCTGGTAACTGCCCTAGCAAGGTGCTAGCTGCTGTCACCAGGTGAAAGCAATGGAAATTCCAGGAGACAGAATATGACCCCAAGCTGGCCACAGGGCCCACTGGTCATGACATTGTATTATAACCGTTTTTCTCCACCTAGCCTCCCCTTTTCTCTCCTCTTTTCCCATCCCATTCTCATTTCCAAGTTACCTTTCTCTTTTTATCTTCTTGATCTCCAGCAGATAGCACAGATAGCACATTGAAAACTGACTCAATGAAAGTGTGATGGCGAAGTCAGGGTTTTCCTCCAAGTCCTTGCCTAAGGTGCCTGAGATTGCCCAAGGCAAAGGTGTATTGTGCAGCACCCAAGTAGAAACTCCTCCCTTGTTTCTGCCTTTATCCATCACTGTCAAGAAGGGGCCTCATAACAGTTTCAGCATTTGTGTTTTGGTATTTAGGTTCATATTTGTCATTTAATGAACTGGTGTTCCCTGCCAGAGCTTGAGCTAATAGAAAGTGATAGATACAGGAAATAGAAAAAATAGCAACTCTAGTTGTGGGCAGCATAAGTGAAAGTTGAGAAGCTTAGAATTTAAGGTAGCTTTGCTGATCCAGCTTTCAAAATCCTAGCAGTGATTTACAATTGTAACTCCCCCCCACCTCCCTCCAGGTTGCTTTATCTGTTTTTCTTTTTTTCTCCCAAGCTTTAAGCAGGAGACTGAGACAATATGAACTCACAAATATTTAGCTTATTATTTTCCATGACCATGACTAAAGTCAGTGGAAGAAGATGCCATAGGTGTGCAATACTCAAAGAATTCCCAAGTAAGCAGATCCTGTTCAATTCAGATTCTTCCCTTCCTGAGCTCATCTTTTATCAAATGTACAAAGCCCTCCAAAACTTCTACAGAGATCATTGTTCCATGCCTAGTTATGATTTAATTCATTTGCATGTGACAATTCTATTATCATCTCAGTACCACGAGGAGCAAGTCCCAGGGCAACAAGAAGTGGTTCTATCTTTAAGGAGGCCTCAGGTTTACTTGCTCAATTTCCAGCCAAATTATTGACTCATCTCATTGTTATAATTGCAAGATTACTATCTTTCTGTAGCATTACACCTGCTGTTTCTAGATCCCTCAGACCCATACATTTATCTCCAAATCAACTTTATTTATACTAAATAATCTTGACAAGTTCCCCTCCTTTAATAAACTAAACTCCTCGTCAGATCTGCACTCAATAGCATTCATTTGGAATCCATCTTGGACTTTTGGACCAAATGCCACTCCCTGTAGGCAAGCCCAACCCGGACATCTGTTGTGGGGCCACATAACTACATGTCCGTGCAACTCAGGAAACATCCATGATTCTGACCACTGAGTGTGTGAGTTTCTTGAATAAAGGGGCTGTATCCTTCCATAATCTGTCCTTGTAGCATTTTAGCACTGTGACCTCTTGTTTTCTTCTAAATGAAAAATGGCTTTATTATTTACTTCTGTTTATAAAAATAATCCATGCTTGGGGTAAAACTTTCAAATAGCACAGATTAATATACTGAAATAAGAAAAACATTAAATTCTACCAATTAGGGATTAATATGATTCACAGCCTTCTGGACCCTTATCTGCACATAGACACAATTTAATGCAATTGGAAGGCACTCTTTTGGCTGAATAATATATTCTTGTTGTTTCAGCAAGTACAGATCTCAAAATAGGTATTTATTTATTTCCGCTGGACTGAATTGCAATATAAACAGAAGCCTATGGCTGTTTGTAATTCTCATGCCCTTCCTTATTTTTCTCCCTGACTCCACAATTTCTCTGAGTTCCTCTCCCTCTTCTTTAACCACGGCTCTCAGCATCCCCTGAGGGGCAGCCTTGGCTGCGGCAGTTGCCAGGGAGAGGAAGAGAAGGAAGGATGTGCAGGTGGTCAGGCAGCAGGAGGGACGTTCCATGCTGTCAATTACAAGAGAATTGGCCTTATCTACTCCTGCCAGGTGGGAGTTGAAGTGATGTCAATCTCCCATTTTATACAGTCCCCTTATTTTTTATACTCCATCCACCTCTTCGCCTCCTTCCCAAGCAACAGAAGGAAGGTATCTGCACTGTCATCGAGCTCCTTTGGCAATTCTGAGTTAGAAGGTGCACAGCTACTCTTTGAGACATGCCGCTCTGCCCATTGCAGACCAGGTGCATCTTATGGCTAAATAGGAATTACCTGGGGAGGTGGTTAATAAAACAAACTCCTGCACCTCATCCCCAGATATTTTGACCTGTAGGGCTGGGATGTGGCCCAAGACACACACTCTCTCTCTCTCTCTCTCTCTCTCTCTCTCTCTCTCTCTCCCCCCGCCCCCCCCCCCGTGTGTGTGTTTTCTTCTTTTTAAAAATGATCCTGATGAGCATCCCCGTTGGCACCTGCTCTACTTTCTGGCAACCAAAGTGTGGTTCATGGACTGGCTTTATCACCACTTGGGAGCTTATTAGAACTGCAGGATTTCAGGTATCACCCTAGACCTGCTAAATCAGAGCCTGTACTTTAATAAGATCCCCAGCTAATTCTATGATTGCAATTAATGTTTGAGAAGCACTGCTCTACTCCAGTGCTATGGAATGGGCAAATCCTTCTTTGTGGCATTTAAGTAAAACATTGTGACTTGATTCCCACCTACTTAACTGATAGTGAGAGTTCACAAAATGCACTCACAACCTGTGAGAACATTTTTATGAAAGAGATGGGGTAAACAATACTAATAATTCTAACCTAAAGGAAACTCTCCATCATTTTGAATCTTGGCCTATCCCTGATTTTATGCCAGGAACCAATATTTACATGAATATTTTAGATTAAAGGTTGAAAGCCAGATTTTAGCTCTTAAATCTACTCTTCTGCCCTTAGTGTTGAGTTCTTGTCCTTGGGTTTGCAAGATGGCTCCTGTGCCTCATGAAGTATCTCCACCTTCCATGAAGGAAGAATGGAAAATGGAAAGGGCCATTGTGTTTAGAAGTCTGCCTCTTTTAACAAGCATTCTAAGCAGCTCCTCCCAACGATTTCCACTTATATATCATAAGCCAGAGCTGGGTCACATGACCACCCCAGCTGAAAAGGAAACTGGGCATGCTGCTACCTTACCCCCCAAACTGGGGTTCTGTAACCAGATAAAAGGGGAACATGGACATTAGGTAGGTAGTTGACAAGACCTGCCACTATCACTAAGTTGTAAACAACTCACGAGATCTTTGCATTGTAAAGGGGAACAAAGCCTTAAGCCAAAGGAATAAATCTTGAATAGTAGAATTTCGAGCATTAGTTGCTGTGTACTTAGTTTTTGTGTTTTAGGGTTGAGAAATTCCTATTTACTCTCTTCTCTCAGTCTGCAGAACATTTGCCTACTCTGTCTGGGTTTAAGTTGCACCTTACTTAGATAAGAAACCACAGACTCCACAGTGTGAGACTTACCTCTGCCCCAACTGTGCTCTGTTCTGCTTTGGAACATGATGTTCCTAATCAGAGTCCCTAAAACAGAAACATCCTTTCAAATACCTGCTTTTATTTAAAATGGTGTTAGCATAGTTATCTTGAATTGTGTTTTTTATAATCAGTTAATTGTTTTTATTTGATCGAGATTCTAATACAATCCATACATGCTTCCTTTTTAAAGTGATGACATTTATTTAAGGTAAGGGTTTAATAGAATCAAATTATTATAAAACCTCATGTTTTAATCGAGGATGCTCTGCTTTTCTTGTCTGGACAGGCCCTTGATCTAGCACTTATGCCATCTCTGGTGGAGAGGAAGGATAGATGCCCTCCTGACCTCATGCTTACTGTTGAGAGACTATGAGGCAGGTCCTTAGGGCAGGTGAGCTTAGATATCTATGAAAAATAGTGACTTCAACTAAACTAGAGATCTATCTTTTTTTTTTTTTTTACTTTTGCAGGCCAGAGGGAGGAATATGAAGAATGAGACTGCTAAGTCCTAACCACTCGACCACCAGGAAACTAGAACTGAGAAGAATGAACGCAGAAATCTCAATGGTTCCAGGAAGCGTCAGATGGACTGAGGATGCTTTGTGTGATTTAGACAAGGTACCATGTAGAAATAGATACTGAAAATTCCTAATAGAAAAAAGTGAAAAATTATTGAGGCCAGAGTTTTTGAAACAAAACCCAGATCAGAGTTGGCCAGAGTCCTGGCTTTCTGCTCCCCTGTAACTTCAAGGGATCTAGTTGGCACTCATGGGGTCTCCATGAGCCTGGGGAACTTTGTGGGATTGTACGTTATCACATGCATACAGAATGTCTAAAGTTTACGGAAAGTTCCTTGTTCCAATTACTATTGTCATACAATATACCATCCCAAATCAGTGGTATAAATAACAACCATTTTATTAAGCTCACAAATTCTGGGAGTCAGAAATTGAGGCAAGGTACAGTGATGATGGTTTGTCTCTGACCCATGATGTGTAAGCTCTCAGCTGGGAGGACTCAGATGGTTGTGGGTGACTTGAATGACTAGGGGCAGAAACCATTTGGAGGCTTCTTTTCTCACATGTCTGGAGTATGAAGTGGAACAACTCAATGGCTGTTGACCTGAGGATCTATGTGTGGCCTCTCCATGTGGCTGGGTGAGGGGCCAAGGAGTCTCTGGAAGATGTAAATGCTCCAAGAGAGTCCAGGCAAGCTGCAGAGCCCTTGTGAACTAGCCTTTGAAATCTCACAGCATCACCTTCACTTTTCCCTTGTGGTCAAAGAATATAGAAGCCTTCCTGGATTCAAGGAGCAGAGTCATAAAGCAGCCACCTCTTGATGGGAGGAATGGTAAAAAAAAATTTGAGGCCAAGAAGCAAGCAAGCAAGCAAACAGATTCCTAGTCCCTAAACTTGGAACCTTGACTTTACATTTTCTAGCTGTGTGACCTTGAGCAAAAGACTCAACTTCTCTGTTGTCTACTTTTCTCATCTACCAAATAGTAGGTACCCATTTCATGGGGTTTGGATGACAACTAAGTGAGATAAACTTACACTGAAGCATCTAGCACATTGCCTGGAACATAACTGTTCAATACCACTTGAGCCTAAATCTGAAGAATGTTTGGCAGAATACCAAGTCTAAAGTTAGGCTTATTTTCTCAGGTTCAGAAGCAAGGATTAAGTTGAAAAAGGAATTGTGCTTTTGACAAATGTAAAGACCTACTACATGCCAGGCACGTCCTCCTAGTCAGGTAGAAATAGATACTGACAGTTCTAAGCCAGAAGCAGTTCTAATTCAAGAGTTAGACTTGCATCCAAAACTACCAGAGAGGGCATTTCAGATGATTATGGACACAAATATTACCTAAGCATCTTATCATTTCTTTGACCATAAATTCTTTCCAGAACTGAGCTTTAGAAAATCTCTCTGTACATGCTCAAGCTCTTCTCTGTGCTGGTTTTACAGATATTTTATTTGTCTATTCTTACATCTATTAAGCTTCTTGTATCCTTAAATATTGAATTGATTCAGCTGGATTTCCTGGAAAAAGAGTGAATGCTCTGTCCTTGGATGAAGTCCTCATTAGGAGATGTTCTTTTCTGAGAAAATCATTGTGGTTCCTGGGTACTGTGCCATTTAGTTGACTTGGTGCAACACTTTTAATTAATCAGTGAGAGGGATGACATGAGCCTTCTGAGGAGGCTTTCAGGAGTGTCTGATAAGACAGACAGCAGTTCTTGATGAAATATCACACACATCTTGCCCTGTGAGGAGCAGTGATCATGGGTACACAGTGAAAATTACTGACAGCAAGAGCTACAGTGGATAACAGAGAATTCTCACAATCCAACAAGTGATCTTGCTGATGAAAATAAAGGTGGATTAAGAGCTGCAAACTGACCTTTTGTTCATGGAGCAGTTGGGTTCTTCTCATTTTATGGGTTCATCATGCCATGTTGTGGATAATATCTTTCTAGCAAAGTTCATTTAAATATGTGGAAAAGGAAAGCTTAGTAATAGAATATGAAAGTATTGTGATCATTAGATTTGAAAGTAGTTCTTAAAATGTAATTTATTGTAACCAAATGTAGCTGATTCTTTTTGTGTCCCAAAGCATATTCCCTCTACCTTTATGCGACTTCAGCCATAGCTGTGGTGGCCATTTCCTGTGCATGCTGAGGGATTCTCCCCAGTGCCTGCTGCATCTTGTTCAGCTCTCACATAGAACAGCCTGGGATATGGCAAGGAGTGGGGTATAGGAGTCAAAACCTCTGGATGCAACTCTGAAACAAAGGAGGACAGGAATGGGTCCATAATGGCTTCCTCTCCTATGGAGGAATCATTCTGAGGTACATTTTACATCATTTCCAGTGTGCTCCCAGCAGGATTAGTCTCCAGCTGCCCACAGGATTAATCATTTCAAGAACATACCCTTCCTTAACTTTCTTCCTTGTCTGCCTTACTCTCCCTGCTCCTTCACTCCTGATCCCTGAGCTCACCTCCCCAATGAGATACCTGGAACCTCCAAATTAAAATATCAAATATCCTGGCTTAGTTGGACCTGAAATTCAGATATGCCCAGAGGAGGAAGGGGGTCTCTCATTCCAACTTTAATATATATTGCCTTGCACTGATTGTCATAGGAGCCAAGGCCATATATGAACAAGGGACTCAAGTAGTGTCCTCAAAGTGGAATGGACTGGGTTAGGGAATAGGGCTTCTGAGAGAGACAGAGAGACTTCACCTAAAAGGAAGAAGGAGCCTGCTGTGATTGATTCATTTATTCAACGGATATTTATTGAGAACCTTCTATGTTTCAAGTACAGTTCTATATGCTGGAAATGCATCAGTGAATTAAAGCAACAGAAATCCTTGCACTCATAAAGTTCGTATTCTAGTGGATGAAGACTGGCAATTAAAATAATAAAAAGTAAATTTTAATAAACATGGGAGTAAAGATATCTCTTTGATATGCTGATTTCCTTTCTTTTGGGTATATACCCAGCAGTGAGATTGCTGGACCATATGGTAGCTCTATTTTTAGTTTTTTGAGGAACTTCCCAAACTGCTCTCCATAGTTGCTGTACTAATTTACATTCCCATCAACAGTGTATAAGGGTTCCCTTTTCTCCACATTCTTGACATCATTCATAGTAGCCAAGGTTTGGAAGCAACCTAAGTACACATTGACAGATGAATGCATAAAGAAAATATGGTACATATATACAAGGGAGTACCATTCAGCCATAAAAAAGAATGATATCCAGCCATTTGCAACAAAAAGAATGATATCCATCCATTTGCAACAACATGGATGGAACTGGAGGCCATTATGTTAAATGAAATAAGTCAGACACAGAAAGATAAACATAGCATATTCTCACTTATTTGTGGATGCTAAAAATTAAAACAATTGAACTCATGATGATAGAGCATAGAAGGATGCTTACCACAGGCTTGGAAGTGTTGGAGGGGCAGGGAAGAAGTGGGCTGCAAAGCATAGTTAGAATAAATAATATATAATATTTGATAGCACAACTAGGTGACTAAAGTCAACAAATAATTTATTGTGTATTTAAAAGTAATTAAAGAGTATAATTGGATTGTTTGTAACACAAAGGATAAATACTTGAGGGGATGGAGACCCCATTTACTCTGGTGTGATTATTATGCATTGCATGCCTATATCGAAACATCTCATGTAACCCAGAAATATAGACACATACTATGTACCCACAAAATTTAAAAATAAAAAATTAAAGTAAATTTTAGATTATTTTAGAAGAGGTTAAGGGCTAGAATAGAATAATATAAGGGGGATTAGCAGTACAGGCAAAAAGGGGGATGGTGTTAACTTATGAATGAGGTGGCATGTTAGTCTGCTCAGGCTGCCATAACAAAATCTCACAGAGTGGGTGCCTTGAACAACAGACTTTTATATTCTCACAGGTCTGTAGGCTAGAAAGCTATGATCAAAGTGCCAGCAAACTCAGTTTCTGATGAGGGCTCTCTTCCTGGCTTGTAGATGGCCACCTTCTTGCTGTGTCCCTGTGAAAAAGCTCTGGTGTCTCCTCCTCTTCTTATAAGAGCACTAGCCCTATTGGATTTAGTTCTCACTCTTATTACTTCATTTAACTTTTATTACCTCCTTAGAGGCCCTATCTCCACATACAGTCACATTGGGGATCAGGGCTTCAACATCTGAATTTTGAGGGGACACGATTTAGTACATAACAGATGGTTTGAGTAGGTATCCTTTACAAGGTGACATTTCAGCAAAAACATGAAGTAAGCAAGTTATCCATATGGCTATATGAAGGAAGAGAATTCCAGGAAGAGGGAATGGCCAGTACAACTGTCCTGGAGGGAAACTGGTCTATCCTGGCCAAAGTGTTCAAGAAATAGTAAAGATATCAGTGCTGAAGTGAAGGCAGCCAAGGGAGTTGTAGGAGATGAGATTGGACAGGTAAAGTTGGCCCATGTCCTGTACAGCCTTCTAGGGCATTGTAAGAATTTTTTGCCTTCTGGAGTGGAAGACCTGGAAAGCCAAACCCAGCAACAATGTCTAATGGGTGGATGAGGAGCAGTGATTTTAGGAATAGGTGGCACGGTGACCTACCTGACAGTGGATCCAAGCACCCTTGTGGCCTGATGTTGAATGGATGAAGTATATGCTAGGAAAAATAAAACATGATTACTGGTCAAAACAAAAATGAAAACAAAACAGTCATTAAACTATGTAATTAGTTGAGATCCCAGCAACCTCTTTGTGGGTGTCATGTAATAAGGACTGGAAGTGCCAGCAGAAAACTGCAGCCATCACTGAGACTGCTCAGTATGGGTGGAGCCCAGTGTTGACAGATGATCAGCACAGTGAAGGAGAGTCTTGTTGCGGATAGGATCAATAAGATAGACCAGGGGAGAAATATAGGGAGTTGAGAAATACAACCCCATGAGGCCAGATGTGGTGGCCCATACCTATAATCTCAGTACTTTGGGAAGCCAAGGTGGGAGGATAGCTTGAGGCCGGGAGTTCAGGACCAGCAACATAGCAAGACCCTGTCTCTCCAGAAAAAAAAAAAAAAAAAAAAAAAAAAAACCAAAAAGAAAATTAACTGGGCTTGGTGGTATACACCTGTAGTCTTAGCTACTCTGGAGGCTGAAGAAGGAGGATGGTTTGAGTCCAGGATATCAAGGCTGCAGTGAGCCATGATCACACCAATGCACTCCAGCCTGGGTGACAGGGCCAGATGCTGTCTCAAAAAGGGAAAGGAAAAAGAAAAAGAAGCACACCCTCACATATATAGAAATTAGAATATGTGAGAAAAGTCACATTTCAAATTAGTGATTATGCTGACACTTGGTTAATAATGAGGCAAAAAATTAATTTGGAGCTCTATTTAAATCCACATAGATTGAATATTTGAAATCAAAAAAGTTGTTGGAGAATCAATATTTGTCTTAGGTTGGGAAGGGCTTTTTAACCATTACCTCACTGGCAGAAATCAGAAGGAAAAGACTGGCTGGGCATGGTGGCTCATGCCTGTAATCCCAGCACTTTGAGAGGCTGAGGTGGGAGGATGGCTTGAGCCCAGCAGTTTGAGACAAGCCTAGGTAACATAGTGAGACCCCATCTCTACAAAAATAAAAAAACTTTAGCCAGGCATGGTAGTGCACACCTGTAGTCCCAGTTACTTGGGAGGCTGAGACAGGAGGATCGCTTGAGCCCAGGAGTTCAAGGCTGCAGTGAGCCATGATCATGTCACTGCACTCCAGCCTAGGTGACAGATTGTCTCAAATAAATAAAAAACTAAATACATGAAATTTAAAAAAGATTGAAATATTTGACCACAAAGATGTTTAGAAGTTCTATATGGTAAAAAACACTATATCTGTAAAACTGAAAAAATATATTTATAACATTTATGACAGAGAAAAGATTAATAGTCTCAGCATTTAAAGAGCTATTATAGACCAATACAAAAAGAAAAACTAATAAAAAATGAATTAAGGTTGTGAATAGTAAACTTACTAAGCCTATGAACATTAAAATATGAAACAAATAAATGCAAATTAAAATAATGAGATATATTTTCTCAGAATAGTAAGGATTAAAAAGATTGCAGACACCAAGTCTTGGCTAAGATTTGGAAAAATAGGCACTCTTTCCTATAATACTGGTTGTTTCTGATGAATTATTCTGCTGAGAAATTTTGTAATATATATCATATCTAAGTATATATTATTTAGCTCAAAAATTCTACTTCTAGTCATTTATCCTAATTCAATGATTCAATATATATGTAAAGATGAGTATCAAGAATGTTTAATTTTTGTCATTTATGCAAAATAAATAGAGGGAATAGTATAAATGTCTCATGATAGAGATGCCATAAATTATGGTGTGTCTAAAATAAATATACAGCAATTAAGATTAATGATAAAGCTGTATATTTATTAATATGAAAGTTTTCTTTCTTCTTATCATGGTGACTAGTAGACATCACTCACAAATCTCTGAGTAAGTACTCTGTAATCTCATATGCTTGTGTGTATATACCAGCATAATAAAGTAAAAAAATGATAAGTTACCTCTGGGTAGTGTTATTATGTGTGATTTTTAAAAAGTTCTTTTTTTGCTTATCTGTATTAGTTATTTAATTGATAATGAAGTTGTATAAATTGAATAATAAATATTTTTTAAAATTAAAATTTAGGTTATGTATTTAAATTGCTAAGTTCTTGAATATCTGATATTGAAAGGTGTCTGGTGTTTTTCAAGTTAAAGTTTTCTCAAGCATGGCTAATTTAATTTTTAAAACAGTATTTATGTCAAGGAAGTGTTGTATTTTACATAAATTTAGTATTTCCTTTGGCTTTCAATTTCACCTCTATCTTATTATTATGACAAATATATATTCTTATCTCTGACATTTGACATTTTAATAATACTGAAATGACCAAGAGAAACAATTAGAACAGAGGCCAGGTGCTGAGACCAGCTTGGTCGGGGAGACCCTAACCCAGTGGCGCTAGAGGAATTAAAGACACACACAAAGAAATATAGAGGTGTGAAGTGGGGAATCAGGGGTCTCACAGCCTTCAGAGCTGAGAGCCCCAAACAGAGATTTGCCCACATATTTATTAACAGCAAACCAGTCATTAGCAATGTTTCCATAGATATTAAATTAACTTAAAGTATCCCTTATGGGTAATGAAGGGATGGGCCGAATTAATTGCAGCAGGAACACGCCCTTAAGACACAGATCGCTCATGCTTTTATTTGTGGCTTACGAATGCCTTTAAGTGGTTTTCCACCCTGGGTGGGCCAGGTTTTCCTTGCCCTCATTCCCATAAACCCACAACCTTCCAGCTTGGGCGTTAGGGCCATTATGGACATGTTACAGTGCTGCAGAGATTTTGTTTATGGCCAGTTTTGGGGCCAGTTTATGGCAGGATTCTGGGAGGCTTGCTCCCAATAGCCAGGATTATACTTCTACAGAGGCTGATTGAGATAGAGTCATCTGTGGGACCATGGGTTTTTTTGTTTGTTTGTTTGTTTGTTTTTTGGTAACAGCTTTATTGAGATATAGAAGGAATTCACATGCTGTACTCCTCAGCTACTGCAAGTATACAATTCAATGGTTTTTAGTATATCCACAGAATTGTAAAATTATTACCACACTCAATTTTAGAACATTTTAATTGCTCCGGATGCAATCCCCAAACCCTTAGCAGCCAACCCTCATTACCCTTCATGTTTTCCAGCTTAGGCAACTACTCTATAGATTTGTCTATTCTGGACATTTCATGTAAATGAAACCATAAAATATGTGGTCTTTTTGTGACTAGCTTCTTTCATTTAGCATAATGTTTTCAAAGTTCATCCATGTTGTAGCATGTATCAATATTGCATTCCTTTTTATTGCTAAGTAATATTGCATA